GTTAATGATAAGACACGACCGTGGACACCAGTAACTTTTCTTTTGACGAAACACAACATGTACTCTATGGTTGCTTTTATAAATCCGATGTTATATCGGTTTATATAGCCGGCAGCGGTTTAATTAAAAATTTTTTGCCAGACCACACGGATGAATGGTTCTCTCATCCGCAGGATATTTCCCTCTTTCTTTATCAAACTATCTGAATATTTAATAATTATTTCGATAGATTCGGGTCGGATATCTCATCGAGACGAATTTCTCACTTTCATCGAAGAAAACGAAATTAATCTGCACACCATTTTACACCCCTTTCGCCCTTTGTCGGAGCTAAAGCCACGCTGTTTTCACAAAGTTTCAAGCGAATTTCTCTCTATTTTGACATCGAGTCAATACATCGTTGATCGAATAAGCGTTTGGGATTAACATGCAAATAATGTAAATTAAATTAACATGTTAAATGGCAGGTAAAATTAACATGCAAAAATCTGCCACTCGGTACTCAACATGTCGCGTGTTTTTAACAGAATTGAAGGATTTGATCGAAATTCGAAATTTAATAATAAATTTTAATTTAATAATAAGTAACGGTAAATTTTAATGTAACAATAAATGGATTGAAATTTTCTCTTTTCTCCCTTAAATTTGTTATATGATGTTTTTTTTTATTAAATTTGGAATATTAGAGTAAAACCCTGATTTTAATTTTCAAAATTGAATAAAATAGTAAAAAAAAAAAGCGAACAAATTTTAAGAAATTATTCTAAAAAGAAAATTTCAGTTTTCAAAACTATGGTGGTTTTAGTCATGAAACAAATTTTTCAATGTTTGAATTTTTACAATTTTCGAGAATAAAAATCTTCTATTTTTCTCACCTGTCATACATATGTATAACGTAATAACATCTCTGAAAAAAACAGACGTGTCAAAGTAGAGCCTTTATACTTTAAAATGAAATCAAGTTTATTGTTATATGATTTTCTTTTTTAATTCAATTCAATTATCGATAATCTTCCATTGTTAGTGGTACAATTGTGCTCTTCACTGTTATGGAACAATAATCTTTTGAGCATTATGCCCGAATATTAATAAGAGTTGTACGAGTTAGTATTAATACAAATAAATACGTATATAGAAATTTTGGTCGTGATTTTTGGTACTCTGTGTCGAATAAATCGAGTGTCAGACATTTTCGAGTGTCGATCCTGATAAATTGTTAATTTACCACCCATGCGAGCTCGAAGATTCAACCATTCGGAGATTTCGCGATAATTCAATGAACCGCGATTTGTCTCGAGTTCAAAGAGCAGAAACGTCGACTCAAGCGGAAAGCAGATAAAAAGTAATGAAGAACAAGGGTTCCTCGCACAGATTGAAAGAAACGATTCTTCATATTCGACATTTTCCATCGACAATTTAAGTTACAGCAAACATTGATAATTACATTCAAGCGACGTGATAAGATAATAAGAGAATTTTTTAATAAATTACAGTATACACTCTTAATGACGAACGAGAGATTGACAGAATTACTTTCATATTTCTTGTAACTGGACCGTAAATTTTTAACTTTTAAAGTGTAAAATTCGAAAATACGGAAAAATAATAAATATTTCCAAAATTCTATGATATTTTATACGTAAAACAATTCCAAAATTCTATGATATTTTATACGTAAAACAATTTTCTACCGAGGTTATTTATTTTATTTTATTACGCGCAAAAACTAATTCTGTTCCTTTATAATCTTTATGCCAGGTCAAATTTTCAATATTCACTATTTTGAAATTTCTCTTCTTTCTTTTAAATGATAATAATTATTTCATCCTTAAACGAATGACAAAATCTAAAGAAGACATCAAATTAATTTCTACATACGGATTTGTGTGAAAATTTGCTGGCTTTGTTATTTTTTTTTTTTTTTTGTCTTGTTATTCTATTATTTTTGGCACAGGCTACCGGAAAAGTGCAAAATTCTTAAAAGAAAACAAGAGGAGGGCACCGTTTAAACTCGAAACATCCTTTAAGCTCAGAATGATACCGCGAAGGAATCCGAGACCACCACGAATAAAATATAAAGGGTATATTGATTTTTACGCTGTTTGTAACTTAAGACGGAAGCAATTTACAAAATATCGCGTCTCGGCTTCTCTTTTGTTGCAAAGTGTTACATCGTTTCAAAAAACGTAGACGAAAAGGTTATATGTAAATAAATACGTTCGATCGATAATTGTTGAAAGCATATACGTACAGTCCAGCTCGAAACTTTAAAGAGTAAAGTTAACGTTTAGAATGAAATAGTTACTTTTTTTGAATAAATAAATATTTTATTCACAATATTACTTCTTCTCTACGGTATTGAGACTTTCATTAATTATATTTAGAAGATTAAAGTTACAATTGTAATATCCACGTTTCTTAGAAAAATGTAGCCTTCAAATAAAAAATTTGAGATTAATTTCAAGAAGTGAGGGCTTTTTCAAGTAAATAAATATTTTATTAAATATCATAATGATTATCTTTTTCATCTTTTTCGAAAGGCTGAAATTTTTATTAATTATATCTAGAGATCAAAGTTACAGTTATGTAGAATGTTCCAAATTTTAAAGCAAAGATGCATAGAGAGTGTATCATGAATCATACAACTTTATTGGATTTTATTAAATTGTTATTGAAGACATTATTAGATTTAGGACAAATCAAGTTTAACACATTTCTGTAGAAAATTTACTGTTTTAAATTCAAACATTCAAAATAAGCTTGATCATCTTTTTCGTATAAAATACTTATTAGTTTTTCTGACTGGCTCATATACATTCTTCTTTCATTATTTTTCTTTATAGCAATTGATATTTTTATAGCTTAAAAGATTTGTCCAGAGAGGGTAAATAAATGGAAAATACTATTCATTTATAATGGACAAATTTTATGACTCACCTACGACACTGTAGCAGATAAATCTAAAAGTTAAATATTTAGAATGGACAAATTGTATGGCTCGCTGTAGAAGATAAATCTAAAAAATTAACGAAACAAATGTATGAAATATTCTCACTGATTTACAAAATTACATAAAAGTTGTACCTATTCGTTAAATTTCTTTGTACTCTGTTTAAAGATTGAAAATGACGGCTCGATAATGTGTTGTTAAGAAAGCCGACGAAGAAAACGTTGGATTTTAAAGCAGGATCCAAGTCTACGGAGGTTAATAAAAGTCGTCGTAAAAACTCGTTACCGTTACGCAGCCAGCACTTCAGGGCAAATGCGGCATAAGTTTATCTCTCTGGAGCATATAGTTTACAAGAAGTTGCAACAATCTGATTTCCTCCGGGCAAATGCTAATTTTCCCCGTTCTTAATTCAAGCATTTTCCAACTCCGAGTGATTTTCAATCGATCTCTGCCACGGAATAATCATAATTGTCGCAATGATCATAATTACCTTCGCCCTAATTATTGTCGCATCTCTTTCTTCGAAGATGCATTACAGGCATTTATAATTTCGACTGTGAAATCTAGTCTATTTATTATTAATAAAGGAGTTTGCAAGTTCAACTATTTACTGTTCCAAGTTCAACTATTTACTGTTCCAGGTGTCAATTTAAGCTTGGATACGATTAAAAAGATTTTCGTGAAAACTTTCAAATTCACCCGCGCTGATCGATCAGCCTCGTTACTCGTAACAACGTTTCAGGTATTAATGCTAATTCGATATGTTCAGAAACAATAAACACGACGAACGAATCCGCTTCGCTAACTCGTTATTTTTAATCGCGTTACTTCGAATCAAGTCGCGACGAACGCGAGTGTGCACACGATCTTGTAGTACAAGAACGTAAGGTGGTAAACAAGGGATTAAATGGCCGGCGAGGCGGATTATCAAGTGGCCATTTACGCGTTTACACGCTAATTGATTGGCTCGATTTTCGAGGCTGTCGGCCAGCCTTTCGGCCGGGTTAATATAAAACTAGTTATCGCAAGCACCCGATTAGGTTATTACGGTTTCCGTAAAAAAGTGAGCAAAGGCCCGGCGAGAGAATTCTCTCCGGCGATGGGCTGTCGGCTCAAAGTAGTAAACGCTGAATTACGTCAGCCATTGAACTTTATGCGGGCGAAGCTTCTGCCAACCAGTTTGCTTACTCCCTCCCGCTGACTTTTCGTAGTATTTTTAATTTTAACTGACAGGCGCCCGACGAATTCTCTCGACTCGATTTTGGACATTCGAACACGTTAGATCAGATTGCTGGTACGTGAAACATTTATTTGAATTTCGAATTTGACGCGGCGAATAACGCGTTCTATTGTCGACTAATAACTGTATCAAGAAACGGGATTTAATTTAAAATCACATCGCTGAAATATTAATATTAATATCTCTGATTATTGACTTTGAATAACTGTGCCAATATTGTCGTGCAACGCGAAATTTAAAACTCTGTTTGACACCGAAACGGAAATGTTGACTTTATAAGCAATTGAATAAGTTTTCACGAAGAATTGAGATCGTCGCGCATTTCATTCTCTTTTCCAATCAACGTGTACATCACCATATTTTATATTTAACTCTCACGGTTAGACCGCAGTTTGGAAATAAATTTTTAATAAGTTTGATTGAATCATAATTTTAATTTTCTTCAATTTAATTTAATTGAATTTCGTTGCTAACAGAATACAGATTTTGTACATTTTAAAATTTTTATGAATACCATTAAAGAAGTAAATTTATATATGTACTTTTATATATTATATGTAATTTTATATATTATATGTAGCGTGTATACATTTCTGCAATTCTCAAATTTCCACAAATGCATAAAATCCAACAAAATGCAGTATTTATGACTAATCTATTTCTATTATTTCCATTATCGATCTTAGCATAAAATAAATATTATTATTCTTGATACACAATTAATTTTGGTAATCCAACATAAATCATTACCATAGTCATCCATAATTCAACTATTATGAGATGGGGAAATCTGGGAAAAGGCCAGAACTTCTCTCCAGCGTAGCCCAAGAACGAGACAATTGTCGCTTGCAGAGATGATTATAGCGAAAGCTAGGCCTGGGAATATTTGTTTTAGTCGGACATCAAGTGTTAATATACTGAAACTGTGAAAGGAGGTTCCAAAGATTTTCTGAATATTTTTTATCTACCTCTATCTATTTGCTGAATATTTTATATTATTTATTTATATTATTGTAATACTACTAAATTGTACGTAGAATCTAAATAATATAAATGTAAATAGATAATATAAAAATATATTATTTCATAATTATATTATTATATCATATCATATTATATTATATTATATTATATTATATTATATTATATTATATTATTTTATTTTATATTATCTAAATGCTACGTACAATTTCGTAGTATTACAATAAATTATAAAAATTATAATTTATAATTATAAAATTATAAATTTTGCTCGATCCCGTGTTAACACGAGCAAAATTCCGAGCAAAATGACTTCACAGGGAAAGCATGAAAAAGAAATGAATACGCTGAACACGTTGAATCTCGACGAAATCAAAGTGGAAACTTACCATGCGATAGTGAAGCTTTACGAGGAAGACGACCAAGGTCCAGTGCCGCGTATGTATACATAATTAATTAGCAGAGCAATTCGAGGGGAAGACCTATGATGTGGCACGGTGTGGTAGGCACATATCAGAGGGTTAAAGGTCCATTTATACCTTGGCATGACAGGCACGGCTACACAGTTGAAGCACAACTCAAAATTATTTCATTATTATTACAGTTTACCAGTAATAATAATTCATCACAAATATTTTGTATTGGGAAGTCTCTTCATTCTCAACAACTAAAAATGCAATAACTCCGTAACTCGAATTATTTGTCTCGCTTGTATTTCACTTCAACAACTCGAATCCAAGTGTACGAGTCAAAATTCTGTCTCTGTTACTTTGATCTTGTAATCTATGCAATGTACTAATGCGTGCAGATCATCAATTGTTTGCATGCAAACCATGATCTCCAGAATCTCTTATTGTTAAAAAGTAAGGAAAACAGGAAGTATACTTTAGACATTCAACATAATAAATATATTGGAAACTGCTGGAAATTTGTCTCTTTTGAAACGGTGAAAAATTGAGAACTACATCACATGCAAAATTATAAATCCTGGATTTTTCACCATTCTCCAACTTTCCAACTTAATCTGCCCTTTCGTATCAAATCGACACAAAATTGACAATCTAACGTAATCTACAATGAAAGAATAAATAGCTAGCAAAACTCTTTTATTTAACAGTAAATGGAATAAATTTCTGTTCAACTACGTAAAACTTACTCTAAAGTTCGTTCGATTATAGATTTTGTAAGAAAACTGTGTCAAATTGGCACCCTTGATGAGGGTTAATGTACGTTTCCTTCGACAAATCCTCAATCCACTCAATATATTATACGTGTAACATTCCAGCACACGCGTAAAACCGCGATCTCTAATGCAAACGGATCATCAAGCGTTCGAGTCGGAAGACGCAGGCATTCTGTGTCGAAGATCTCGCGAGAGTTTAATCTAGGGTAGTTTCTAACGAGCGTGCAGACCGAATATCGCGCGGCGATATTGATACAACGGCAAACATAATGCGACCTGGAACACCGCCAGATACGGGTCAACGGTTATTGCCGGTAATAACGTCGTAAATCTGAGAGACGGACACCGAGACCGTGGTTCCTTCGAAACACAGAGGAGAAATTCCGTACGCAGCGGTGGAGTTCTATCTCGCAATCGTTTCGAGTTACGATCTTCTCCGGCGGCCTTGGCACGGGACTCTCGACTCCAGACCTACGCATCGCCAAGTCGCTAATGAACCAATAATTTCACTAATGACGTTCGATCAGCAACTGTTTGTCGTACACTTGCGCGTCTGATTACGGTTAGCATCCCAGGAATCTGCAGCAACTACTCGCACACACGCTCCCATCACCGTTAATCACCGATCCTCCAGGTTTCCGGAGGACTATTGCGAATTCCGACGATCTCTCCTTGTCTTTCCTTCGCTACGATCGCCTAATCCCTGGCTCAGGGGACATAAAATGCGAGCTCAATTTCCTTTTTGAATTTATCTTTGGTGCTGCAACTGAGATCAATGACAGTTATATTCGTGATATTGCTACGTTTCTCCATAAGTGTGCAGGTTTTCTGTCGAAATGTTGAGCATCGACGTTTCACTTTACTGTTTCTTTTTGATTATTTTAAATTAATTTGTCACTTTATGGATCGAGTGAAATGGCCAGCTTTTGCAGCGTTGTCACTGTTGCTTGTTTAATTTTAAATTTCAAGATTCTGATGAACGTGAAATTTGTTCATTAAGGATTGAAACTGAAACAAGTTTAATAGGTGTTGTAAAAAAATTTTTTCTTCATCTGACATTGGGAAATGGCGAAAGATTGCTATTAAAATAGCTTCAATACTGTTCACGTGTATTGAAGATGATGGACATTTCGAAAAACAGATATGTTTCTCAAGAAGATACTTTCTGCTCGATTAGTATCTTTTATCATTTCTCAACATTAAATGGAAATGTTTTTATAATAATTTATAATATCCTAATGTAAATATACAAGATATTTTTATGACGCATGCTCAACTTATTTCAGAGTCAACCAAATTATAGGCATAAACTAATTTTAGGCTTATGTGTAAAAAATTCCAAGTAAAGTTGAAAATAATTTTTAAAAAAATTATGTCGAAGAACAGATTGGATATTATTATACAAAAAAATTATTTAAATATTATTATACAAAAAATATTATTTAAATGAGATATGTCAATTCATCATCTCCAAAAATTCTAGATTTTACTTATAAATTACTACAAATTTAAAAATATACACGAATTACAGATAACACAAACTTATTATATATATATATATATATATATATATATATATTTACATGATATGATTTACACACATATATATATACATGACGAAGTTAAAAAATTACAAAAATATTATGCATGATCAGCATACAATACACTGAGAAATAAAATGATGGCACAGAGTAAGAAAGAGTAGGTACATTTTAATTAATTGAACAGTAAATTCATCTCCATTAATGTTTGATTTCTGAACACCGATTTTAAATGCAGATCAACGGATGATGTTTCGAAATGAACGAAGTCACGGGTCTGGAAAGAGTTGGAACTCGCGAGGAAACGCTGCGGGAACAAAGGGTTCTCTCTTTCCGCGGCGTTTATCTTTCAAATGATAAAGCAAATATACACTTTTATATCTTGCACGTTCTAAATTAGAAAAGTTGGCAGAAATCCTCGCTTGTTAGTAGTAGATTATACCTTGTTTGAACGAAAAGGATAATAAGAAGTTGGCATTCTTCTATAACTTCGAAATTATGCCACGAGTTCCCTATGCCAAATGGAGTCATTATTTCCCCAGGGCGTTCTCCTTAGTTTACGTTCGTTTAAATAATCCCGAATCAAAGGGGACTTGTTCGAAGTCGTATTTCAAGTTTCGCGATTTCATTTCTTGACAACGTTGGATTAAACAGTTTTCGACGAGTATTATTAATAGACGGCGGATTTTTGTGAAATACGTTTATGAGAAATAGTCAAGCGTGAAATTGCAAATGATGTTTATGCTTAGTAAAAAGTAATTTATAAAATATTCGAACAACTACTCGAGGAGTTTTGTAATACTTGAAATTAAATTGTATATTATATCGTGAAGCACTCTATTTAAAAAAACATGCAGAAACTCATATAATGAAATATCGTGCTGCATCAAATCAATGCATGACAAAGTCACTGGTTGAACGTTTTAATGTCACTCTCTTGCAATCGCTTCGAAACAGACAATGTCAACCTCGACATCACTCAAACCTGTGCCGCATCGTCGGTATTCCAATTAATTCTTAAAAATAAGAGCATCGGAGTGATTTTCGTACATTGTTGCTGCAAAGCAACCGTTCAGAGAAATAATTAACCTCTTCAGGAACACTGACATGTACGCGTGCGAATCGACATTTTTTCTTAAATTAGAATTATCCTATGTGAAAGAAATTAAAATTTGTCAGAGAGAATCCTTCAACAACAAGAACCCAACGAAACGTGATCAAACAAACAAAAAATTAAGTTTCGCTTTCTCTTCGTTTTAAAAAAAATAACACTTTTTGCGTAGACGATACACACACACGTCAAATCGCAATTTCAAATCATATCGGTGACCGTTGCGTTTCAATGGCCTCGAAACGTACGGTGTGTCAAATACAGTAGAGACCTCGATTATTCGAACGTGCATTGTCGGTGCACTTCTTCGAAAAAATAATTAATTATCATCTCGCGTAGTAGATATGTACACCGCGTTTCAAATTGCAGCGGTCGCCCTTGCTCTCCAAACAGACGTCGTCAAAAACCTAAATTTTAAGCTTAATCCCTGCTGTTGGGAATCAGTTCATGCATGTTCAATTATCCGAACAATTCGACTTTCCGAACTATTTCCGGCTCCCGATTAGTTCGAATAATTGACGCCCCGCCGTGTACGTCATTAACATCCATCTATAAACGATCGCTTCATTTAACTTACGTTAGAGGCGGGCGTGTCCTGGCACTATCCAGAAATCAATTAATCCCGAAGAATACAACGTTACGGCGACGCACACGTACAGTCGTTTGACGGCGACGGCAGCGTTTTCACGGGGATCTCCATGGACAGGCGAGTTTGCCATGGAAAGTTGGACAGGAGCGGCAGTCCTGCCGGACACGCGATTCGTTGGAGCGAAATTTTTGCACGCGATCTCGCCTCGCGAGCGCACTCCTGACTTGCGAGAGCGAAGACCCACCCAAACCCTCGGGATTCTATGAGCAGCACCGCAAACATAATCAGCGGCTGTCACGAAGGAAAGCGCGTTACGAGGAATCAGCCACGATTAGGTTGGAGCTCCAACTACTAATTACCTGGTTAGGCTGGGACAGATGGACGTGACACGAGTTTGTTTCCTTTTTTCAGATTTATTTATTGCAGGCGACGATCGCGCAACTGGGCACGACTGTAATATTATAAATACCTTGATTTCTCGGAGTTTCGAAAAATTAGAAAGGTACTTTGGTGAAAGATACAGTCGACGAGGAGATTAAATGGATCGAAGAATTATAAATGGAACATTGGTGCCATCACAGTGATCGAAACGATCGATTCGTGATTTTTTTGGAATCTAGAGTTTTCGCAAAATGTGTAAACGAAAACTTGCAAACGTCTCTTTCTATTTCTTGCATTCGAGTGTCTTTGGTGCAAATCGATATTCTCGATGTGTAACATCGTTTACAAATAATCATAAATGAAATAGTGTAAAGTATTATATATAATTCTCAATGATGATCAACAATTTCTATGAATGGGCAAATCATCGAAGTATGTTAAACGCGGGGAAAGAGCAAGAGCAAGACGACGAGCGTCAACGAGAGAATTCGAGGCGACAGCGTTGAATATTTGGAGTTAGATCCGATGGGGACGCTTAAAGAGATCATAAAGAGTAGATTAGGGGCAGGAAGGTGTGGGAAGTGGACGCGCGCGTCCCGAGAAACGGTGAAACTGCAGAAAACGAAGTGAAGAGAGAAAGAGAGAGTGAGAGAGAGAGATCGGGTTGGCAGTCTTTGAATTGCTCAAGATTACGTTTTGCAGGTCGTGCAGTTTCTTCGGTTCCGTGGGCTTGATAAATGCTCGAAGAGAAAA